GTCTCCTTTCAGAGACGCACTCGCTACTGCATTTGTCACAAACATTTTTTGGCAACCGCATTATAACCGGTCTTTCATCCTGGGGGACTGCACAGTAAGTGGTATGCATGTAGCAGAAATATTTTTCGGGGGGGGGGGGGAGGGGAAAGGGGCACCGCCTTGAAATGGTCATTTTTTGTTAATATGCCAATGCAAAAAACAAAAAAATTTGGGGGGGGGGGGAGCATGTGCTTGTTGTTCCACCCCCTGGCTACACCCCTGATGGTTTTGCACTATAAGCAGTTACGGTCTAAGTGGTCTACACTGTATCGAAGTTTGAGTGTGGTAGTAGCAATAATATTAGGCTGTTATGTACTAAAACCACAGTATAATTATGAGGAGTGGCGTAGTACAGGGCTACAGAAATATCGAGCATTTGGTGTTATTTAACATGCACTGACATCGCACAGTACACGAGCCTCTATTGCCTCCATCTAAATGCGACTACAGTGGCTGGGATTCAACACGCAACTTTTGATTTTGCTGCCAAGCGCTGTAACCACTACACCTCCACGGTAAATGTTGTAGTAGGAGTAGTGGTACAGTAAATACCCGTTAATTCAAACTGATGCCCTTGTCCCAGCACAGCCCTGTGTACAGTAGACTCTTAGTAAATGGAAATTTGTTAAACAGAACAACTGCTTCTGGCCAAATCGCTTTCATGCTTGTCTTCTGCACACCTGGTCATCTCTCGTTATACGGAACTCCTGTTCAATGGAACATACTTTCCCATTCTTTTCTGGTTCCGCTTACTGAGAGTCCACTGCATTTCTATGGACAAAAACTCCAGATCACTCGAATGCATGGGTATCGACAATGGTTAATACGAACTAGGAGCCCCTGGTTTTTCGCTCTTCGCAGAAGTCGGCCTTATAACACTATAACAAATACAACAAAACCAAACTAAAGACAATCTAGCAGAGATGCTAAACATCGAAAACAGCAGCATTTCTTAGCAGATAATTCAGACACTGCACAGAAGCTCTTGAGCAAGTGACAGAAATGCCATAAACAAGCAACTGTAGATTGCTGATTACTTTTAATATTGATTGCATTAACTCTACTATATGAGTAAACATTATTTAGAGAGCATAGGTTGCTTTGCGCTCTGCCCACGTTGTGTGGTATGATGTATATTAACTGTGGTGTGTGCCCGCTTCTCTTAACTCTGCTTAGTTTGAACACATTGATAGTCTCCTTTGATTTTGAATTAACAAGCTTTTACTGTAGTTGTATTCAGGGGTGGATCCAGCTGCGCATTTGAGGGGAGGCGGTGACTTAAAGTAACACCGGAGATGGGGGCGTGGTCATTACTTTTTTTTGTTTTTACTTGCACAAAAACTCTATCATAGGATAAATACTGTTAATGTCTACTCAAAGCAAAGGGATCCCACTCATTTATCCTGATTGGTGATAGCAGGTGAACGGCAAGCACTGAGGAGAGGGGAGGGGATGCTGACAGGTTGGGGGAGAGGGTGAGCATACCTACTGCCTCCTTTTGGATCTACCACTGGTTGTAGTAGTACTTTAGTTGTAGTAGTAGTTGTAGTAGTACTAAGTCCTAAGTCACCCTCAAAGCTCAATATGACAAACATGAATACAAGGAAATAACGCTTATAAGGAAGTAAATGAAAAATAAAGTTGCAGTAGATATAGTGTTATGAATATACCTGTATAGTGAATTTCTGGATATAACGAACTCATTTTTATGTAAGATGCAACTTCATTATAATAAGGTTTACGTGTAGTAGTATAGTAGTAGTGTTAGTTTAAGGAGGGAAAAGGTGCTTTTTTCTGCAGTTTACCGGGGATAACAATGCAGTGTCATTGAGTATGAGGAAAATGGAATGATAAAAAAGATAGGAAGCAGCATTGGCCTTTTTCTGAAGGAATCAGTAACCACAACAAATAACGTCACGTGAAGTACAGTGCTCCTCGATTGAAACGCGACAATTAGGGGCTGATCTATGCTCATGCTTCCATTCTTCCACCTCCAGTTTGTGTCATATCGGCTAAACTTCGACTTCAGCAGTTATGCCAGAGCTAACAATACCTTCAGTGGCGAGATTCAAGGTGACACAATGCAGTGATCTTGAGCAGTCAGCCATGGCAATCGTTATAACAAAAATTTGGATATCCCATTTTAATCTGTGAGAGCAGTACCCCCCTCCCCCCTTCAGAACAAAATCTGGTTGATGCCCAACTGGGAATCGAACACAGAACATCCTGCATTGGAGTTGGATGGCCTAATCTTAGGATTCTAATAATAGATAGGCACCCAACAGGTGCTGCTCCTTGAAAAAGCTGGTTTGTACATGGACTTCTGTGCCTAATATTCATGCTCGCATTTTGAATGCACTGGTGGCTTTGTTTATTGCTGGGTTTTGACTTTTACTTTGGAGAAAAGAATGGGTAATTGTGAACCTCGATAACTCATCTGAATTGGTCAGCCTGAAAGAGTGGTGAAGTGTAATTGCAGAAATTCCTTGGGAAATAGCTTAGAGAACAAAGCTTAAGTAAATCCACATACCTACAGTCGAATCTCGTTATAGCGAAACTCAGAATAACCATTTTTTGAGATTCAAATGTCCATTGGTTTAATGTAAAAATATTTCACTACTATGAATTTCAGAATACCAAATGTTTCAAAACGTATCGAATTTATCCCCCTTATATCGCCACAACACTTCAAAATAAGAAATAGCAATTTTAAAAAGTTACTCGCGGCTCTAAAACTATGCTCAACTTCGCTCCTGCCACTATCATCATCACCTGAACGCTTGTGTACTTCTCTATCTGCCCGCCCTATTCAAATGTGCGGTAGCCTATCGCTATCACCATCATTGCCTTGTACTTGCTTCATGCGTCAGACTTTGCCCCATTACCTTCATTTTTGTCGGGCAGCTTTACCTGCGCGCTTGTCGCTAGATTGTTTTCTAGCTTTTTGGTTAGTGGTTGAGCGTTAAATATGAGCTTCGGAAGGACCATGAAAGGAGTGCTATGACAGGGAAAAATGCAATGCGAGTGACTTATGGGATGGATGAGTCGCCCATGATTACTCGTGCATGCTTCACTAACGCTCGAACGCTATGCACAGTTTGACGACGAAGCATGCACGAGAGCTTAGCTGGTGATCGATAAGATCCACACCGCGATAAGATCCACATCAAGGAAACAATGACGAGGGCAAAGGCAACGTTGAAACAGCGCGCGCGAACCAACGTGAAGAATCTGTCGCCAATGCTTCGCAGTGCGTAAAAAGTATGCCCACACTTCAGAGTTCGTCTTTCAGCAGTCAAACTCCCCACATCAGTATAGACCTCGCTCTACCTCAAATTAACGCGCACTGGTTCTGTAATATTTCATATTTTACTCTTAGTTGTTTTTTCACGCTTATTGGAGTGCAATACGGTCACACAGGTAGGCTACTCACCCGTCTGTGCTTACGATTTTCGCGCTTACGATTTTTGCGCAAATTTTTAATACTTCTACTACATTGACTTTTCGAAATAACGAATGATTTTCTGTGGTCCCTTGAGATTCGTTGTATCGAGAGTTTACTGTAATAGCCATCATTTCCGCGCTAGCGGAAGCATCATGCATTGTCGCCCTCATAGACACCTACACCTGATTTCTTTCTACTGTACCAGTATGAAACTTTATGGCACTAAGCACTTAAATACTGTTGTCTACTGTTCCTCTCCCTCATTCCCTCCTTTTCTTTTCAGTGTCGCCACTACAGCAGAAAATCCATCAACCAGCATCATAACCATTTCAGGCGCCACCTATGAAAAACTGTCTGTAAATGTGTCAAATCTTTACAACGTTACTTCAAGGCACTGAATATTCTGTTGCAACAAGAATAATGAGATTGTTGAATTTATGTGTGTTATAGGAACTTGTTCTCACTAAGTTGTAATTAAATATAACTTTATCCTGAAGTCACTGATCCTTACTTTTGCCATAAACAAAATTAAATCTCAGGCTAGAAATACAGGGCAAATTCATTTTTGCTTATGTCAATCTTGAGCGAAGAAAAATTGTGCTTTTCGCATTGCTTGCAGAAAGTGGCACGTCGCATGACCCGTCGAAAGTGGTAGTGCCTTGAGAAAAGTGATATCAGTACACTGCAAAGTGAAGTTAAATGAAGACAAATTTATTCTGCAAGAGGTTCAATTCATCCAAAGTATGATATACCTTGCTCTTTCTTGGCCTCTTTTTGAAATAGCAAGAACGAGTGACGTACAGAATTGTGTGCATAGCGTCTCAAAGGATTAAAGGGGCCGTGCAACACTTTTTGGGCATAATCAAAAAACGCTGCCGATTGGTAGTCGAGACATCGGAGACCACACCTACCAAGCATTTTAGCATAGCATGTGGCCTTGAATGTACAATGAATTCTCAAAATCGGCTGATAATCGCTTTCTCTTTTTTTTTAGGAAGGATATTACAGGCCCGAAATTACTACAACCCATGCCTCGTATCGGCCACTGGCTGGTTTGAGCATGGTGTGCTCAGTCGTTACAGGGACCCTCGCAAGAGGCTGTGACTTGTCCATGCATCTGTACGTGATCGCGCAGAAATGTGCATTTGAAAGGAAAAAAGAAGACAAAAACGCTCAAGGTCACAAAGTGCACTTGACACATTTTCTTTCACCATGCCATCCCTCTCTGCTTAGTTTGCAGCGTTTTCGTCAAGAAGAGAGAATGCAATTGCAGTGGGCGATAGATATTTGTAACGAGCAGAGAGCTCGTACTGAGCGGATTCTGAAAACTTTTGCGGCAATAAGCTGCTTTTGTGTATAAATTCCATGGCTACTTGCAAAAGCGTTGCAGGGCCCCTATAATGCCCAGTTTTATGACATGACTGTTGTTTGCCAGAATTGTATCATGGAAGGCATGCAGTAGTGTGTGGTAGACATTCCTTGTCGTTCAACACCAACACCGGTGTCTGTGGTGCAGGGAACGCTCTGCCTGCTGGAGTCTGAGCTGTGCCTGAGTTTTGAGCGCGAGCCTTGCGGGGAGAAACACTACCGGCTGGCCAGCAGCTTCGAGCGGCTCCTGCTGCATGCGCTGTGCCAGTACATGAGCCTGTTTGCACACAGTGAGTGTTCCTTGTTCCTGGGCCAGTTGGGCGCGTAGTCACCTGGTTAACAAGGCAACTGTCACGCTGGAAGAGACACAATTTTTCATTGGGTTGAAAAACTAACTCAAAGTAATATCAATGTCAAATGAAATGCGAACAGTGGCCAGCATTGGGAACGGTATAACATGCATTGACTAGTCTTCACCATGAACATGTCCAGGGCTAGTGCACCAGAGTGCTGCACACCTGTGAATGGTGATAACTGGATGGTGTGCACGAGTGCATGGCACTGTTCATGTTTCATTTGGCGCCGATAGTACAAGCAGTGCACTCTGTGAACAGACATCGCCGACCGCAGTTGTTAATCATCGGTAATCTAATCGTAAGTTGGGACACGTTGCCTTTTATACACGAATGACTGTAAATGGGTTATCTGCAGATTAAACTCTACTAATTGCATGCACGCAATCTTAGTGGAGCCATGTGAAACAGTCTTCTGTTCTCGTGTGTTCTGTCCTGTATCCAGTCGTAGTAACAGTTTTTGTTGTAAGCGAAGTTGTATAACATGACAATAAAAAAATATGAGCGTGTGTTCACAATAACAGTGCAGTGTTAAAATAACAGTACAGTGTTTGAATTTTTTTCGACATGTATGTCTGAAATTTCCGTACTTTCAAAATGAACTACTAATAGCTGAAAAGGTGGTTTCACTGCAGAGATGTGCCACTTTTTCGTTAAACTGCCAACTCTTAAAATTGTGCACTGCCATGAAGGCTAACTTTATTGTTGAAGGTAGGCTAAAAAATACAAATGTTTTTTTTGTGTTAGTGATAATGATCAAAGCACTGCTCTTACTCCAAGAACAAAAATGGCAAGTGAAGAAATATGAAAAAAGAAAATGCAGGTGGTGACATTGCCTTGAATTTTCCATATCATCTTGGCATGGTTTCATAAACTTCAGCCGTGTTTGCTAGGACCTGTGCAATCATCATCATCATCATCATCATCATCATCATCATCATCATCATCAGCCTGACTCTGTCCACTGAAGGACAAAGGCCCATGTTCCACCAGTCAACTCGGTCCTGTGCTTGCTGCTGTCACTTTATACCCTCTAACTTCCTAATCTTATCTTCCCACCTAACTTTCTGTCTCCCCCTACCCTGCTTGCCTTCTCTGGAAATCCAGTCAGTTATTGACCAGCGGTTATCCTGCTTACACGCTACATGTTCGGCCCATGTCCATTTCTTCTTCTTCTTGATTTCAACTATGATATCCTTAACCCCAGTTTGTTCCCTAATCCACTCTGCCCTCTTCTTGTCTTTTAATGTTACATCTATCATTTTCCTTTCAGTCCCTTGCTGCATCATCCTCAATTTAATCTGAGCCCTCTTTGTAAGTCTCCAGATTTATGATCCATAGCTAAGTACCAGCTAGATGCAGCTGTTATATACCTTCCTCTTGAGAGATAGTAGCAGTTTACCAGTCATAATTTGAGAGTGCTTGCCGATTGTGCTCGGCCCTATTCTTGTTCTTCTAGTTACTTCAATTTCGTGGTTCGGCTCTGCGGTTATTACGTGTCCAAAGTAGATGTAGTCTTTTACAACTTCCAAGTGCACTATTGCCTATCTCGAAGCATTATTCTCTTCCGAGGCTATTGTACAGTACTTTCATTTTCTGCAGAATAATTTAGGATATACCTGTGCAATCATTTGTTGCTAAAAACGGTTCACAATGTGCTCTAAGAAGCACCGAGCCTGAACCAATTGAGAAAATTTTATTGAGCCAGTGTGGCCAAATATGTTGTAAGATATTGAAATTTGTGATGTCACACCGACATTTATGGGTTGGAAGTTTCACGTTGCAATTCAAATTTGAGAGTGACATTTATTTCTTTTCTAATAATTTACATATGATCGAGAAACTGATGAGAATAGACATCTGAAAGAATGGTTTATCTGCCTAAACAAATTTCACGTTAGTGCTTGCTAAACAGCCAGTGAACAGACTCCAACTTTTTTATAATAACATCTCACAAACAAGCTCGACAATTCGTGCAGAAAGCTGCAATAATCACATTTTAGGCACATCCGAGCATGTCTGATAACCTTCTCAGGGTGTGATTTCACAGATCGGAAATTGTATTTTTCATAGTTGAGGGGGGAGGGGTGACATTGGCACAAAATGATTTCTCAAACTTGGCCAATGTAGTTCATTTTTACTGATTAGGAACTGCATAGGATTTACTTGAATGTTAACATTCGACAGAAGTCTGTCTGGTTGGGTATGCAAACTCAGAGATGATTTAAACTCCAACCAAAAAAGCTTTTTAAGAAACCCGACGTTTCAGAACCAACTTTGTTTCTTTCTCAGTGGAAACTGCAGGACTACCTAGCAGCCGCGTCTTCAAAGCACTCGCGGGGTGGGTAATGACCCCCCAGTAGTCCTGCAGTTTCCCCTGAGGAAGGAACCAAGTTGGTTCCGAAACGTCTGGTTTCTTCAAAAACTTTTGGTTGGAGTTTAAATCATCTTCCGGCATAGGATTTAGTAAACACCAACAAAATGTATGACGTCATAAAATTAGGTGTGGCAATTGCAAGACTGCATCGCCACCGGCATTTTTTTTGTGAGCATTTTTCGTGCTTGCCAAGCATCTTCTTGCAACAAGGATGCTGACATTAGAATTGTGAAAGAGTCAGTTACTACATCAGAAAAACTGTTTTTCTCTTTAGTATTTCTTTACAAACACGTCACATGTGTGTACAGTTGGCCAAATCTAGCTATCGTGCATGAGTGGCAGTTTTTTTTGTGTATCTTTGACATATGACCGAATTTCAAGTTTGAAAAAAATGTGAGGACAAGTGTATGCCAACAAAGCACATGTCCATGGGGCAATTTTTCGTAGTAACTTCGTTCCATAATATGGTGTTGAGAGACAAAAAAAGTGTCCGCTGCGAACAGTAGTTGAACTTCTTGCCAACTAGACGTGGGCCAGCTATAGGAAAGTTTAATATGTGACATACAGTAAAACCCCTTTATAAGAGACATGCTACAGACAGCATTTTTCGCCCTTTATATGAGATGTCTCTTATAAGCAGGGTACCTCGTATGTATTTTCTTATAAACTCTTATTTTGCTGTAGGTGCAGTGGTGTCTCTTATGAAGGGGTTCGACTGTACTTGACCTCCTGTACCTGGCATGTTTGAGGTCTTCAAATTCTGCGACTTTTCAAATTCGCTTTAAAATGATTCAATATAATAACCAACCTTCCACCAAAAAACATTTATATTTTCACTACCAAGTTGTTCGTCACGTGAACCTTGTGTCGAGCCTACACATAACGGCTCCACTTGAAACAACCTCTCGCTTAAAACAAACGATACCCGTGTGACCGTGGAAATTTATAATATTTCAGTGGCACAAAGTCCCACTTACAACGAATGTCTTTGAGCGTCGCCGATTCGTTAAAGCGAACAAAGTTGGCTCTCCGGCGACTTCCCGGGAAACCACTTTTGACCGACCCATGGATTCTTATCATCTTATTTTAATCATCGGCCCATGGGTTCTTATCAATAAACGCCGGCCCTGCCTCCGCAGCCCTCTATTTGTGGCTCTCCCCAACTTTTTTGTTATGTACCCCTTCTGTTCTTTGTCTTCCTGCTACTCTGAGCACCCCGCATCGCCAGACGAGGTCCGTGTTTGTACACTGTCACCGATATTTCGAAGACCGGTCGGCCAACTAAGTCTTTCCCCAGTTTTTGATTGCTGGTGCTGTTGTGACATTTTTCTTTTTTACAGGTCACACCGTTTCGCTCATGTGACCAATCTGGTGATGTCACTAAAACATCACGGCTGCTGCGGTGCTTTTGTTTTTACCATCATAGTTCATTTGAAGTCGTGACGGCAAGCCAGGGTGAGGTGAAAAAACTATGAAGAAAACTATTAACGGTGATAATATCACGACTGAAGAGATGGCAAGAAGTATCTAAAAAGTCTTACACGTGAACATGGCTTTCTCAGTAAGTTCAGGTTCTTTCGATGTTGTAGAAACTAACTCTCACCACTCGACACTTGAGATGCGCCACACGAGGGGGTACAGCAAAGTGGGAGAAGAAAACATGCTGCCGCTATGTAAATAGCGGCGATTGACTTGCTGGTCGCTTAAAGATGAAGTAAAAATGCTTGAGAAGTTCTAGTGAAGGCTGAGGAAGACTTGTATATACAGATTGTACAGAAGTTACATAAGTACAAACATCAAAGTTACAAAAAAAGAAAGAAAAGAAAACGCTTTCGTTATGAACCGTCTTCTTCAAGGCTACCCTATGGGATTCGGCAGAGCCGACGGTGCGTAACACCTCAAGCCCGATTCAGAACGCTTGGCGGAACTCCGGGACCTCTTCTTATTCCCTCGGTGCTCCGCTCTTACACAATAGTTGGGGTATCTTCGCCTGTTTGTCCTGTGATAGGACAGTACACTCGGTGAATCAAAAACCCCGCCACGGGGACGCCACCGTCATGTTTGTGAGGGCTCATGCCCTCTCCCTAAATAACACAACAACCAAAATATAAAGAAAACAAAACTAGAAAGCGCCATAGAGACATGGGACAAGCTCAGTGGCCCGCCATTATCTACACTTGGAGCTACAGGTACTGGGCTTTGCGGCCATAGAACGGCTTCGCGGTAACACGTCAACTCTTTGACGACGGGGTAATAATCTGCCGATCCCTTATGCGCTATATGAGGAATCGTTCGCTGACTGCACGTGGCTCCACTTACGAGCTCATTTGCAAGGATTAACATGGAAGCAGTGGAAGACACGGTATCAAGGGTGCCGCTTGCAAGTGTCGCAAGCTCGCCAGCTTTCGAGAGCTACCCCACCAGACCGGGACGAAAGGCTTGTGGCGATCCTCGCGGTTTCATCACGCACATTGCCAGAGTGGCACAAAATGCATGCGAAGTTAGCACGCAAACAGCATGCAGCTGGGCTGCAACCGAACCGAAGTGAGGAGTCGCCGCG